CGCCTATCCTCGATGGTTGGGGCTGTGACGGCGGTGAATAGGGGGCCACCTTCGTCACAGTACCGGAGAGGATACAGCGTGACGAATGAACCAGCTTAGGTCGCCTCTGAAGGGGGTTTTCTGGTGCCGGTGGGTATTTCCCTGAGGAACCTTGGGGATTGCATCATCGGTTGCCCAGTTTTACTCCATGGAAAGGAGGGCCGGCTGTTACGGCATATGGGTCGTGAGGTATGCCGCCGTTACAGGAGGCTGCCCCGCGTCGCACCGCGTGGGCTGGGGCGGCGGGGTAGGACAGTGCGCCGACACCCCACTTTACATCAAACGAGAAGAGTCCTATCAGCACGTCTGCTTCCTGGCAAAAGAAAACGGTACTATTAGGTCATTAAGTATGAAATGTCCGATTTCAAATCAAAAGCTTGGTTTATTATATCTCAAACCAGAAATAGTAAAATTAATCGAAGTATGCACTAAAATATCGATACAGTTCTGCCATCTTAATGGTAGCTTATTCATGCCAGCAGCGAAGAAGCCTGAAGAGCAGATGATGATGAAATCGCGGAAGATGTTTTCCACAGCTTGTTGAGAACTGAATATTTTTCCTTGCAAGAAATGGTCCAGTGCCTGGAAGAAGTGGTAGTCAGTTGGTGTAAGATCTGGTGAATATAGTGGGTGACAGAGAGTTTCCAAGTCTAGCTGCTGTAGTTTAAGCAACGTTGTTTGTACATGTGATCGAGCGTTGTCTTGTAAGAGGATTGGCCTGTCTCTATTGACCAATCTCAGCTGCTTAATCTCAAGCATCCTCATCATTTCGTCCAGTTCGTTACAGTAGACATCCGCTGTAATCGATTGACCAGGTTTCATGAAACTGTAGCGGATAATATCAGCGTTGGACCACCAAACAGACACCATTAGTTTTCTTTTGTGAATATTCGGTTTCTGAACTTCATCTATATTCAACCATTGTGCCGAACGCTTGCGATTGTCGAAAAGAATCCATTTTTCATCACACGTAATAATACGATGTAAAAATAGTTCGCCTTTATGTCATGATAGTAAAGAAAGGCAAGCTTCGAGATGATTTCTTTTCTGACGCCTGTTTAATTCATATGGAACCCATCTATCCAGCTTTTTTACCTTGCCGATTTGTTTCAAGTGATCCAATATCATTGGAATAGTAACGTTAAATCTTGCTGCTAATTCACGCGTAGTTTGAGATGTATCCGCTTCCACTACAGCTTTCAGCTCATCATTATCCACCTTGGTCTCGGGTCGCCCCGAGTAGTTCATTTTCAAGATTAAAATCGCCAGAACGTAGCTTCTTAAACCATCGACGTACTGTACGTTCATTAGCCACATCTTCACCAAACACTTCGTTGATATTTCGAGTTGTCTGTGTTGCATTGGTTCCACGACGGAACTCATATTCGAAAATAACACAAATTTTTAACTTATCCATAATTATACAAAGATTGCTGTAATAAAGAGATTTCGAAAGATAATCACAAACCAAAACATGCGTTTGAAAGAATGATGATGTACCTTCACAAGAAAAAAACCAAGAACTGTAAAGGTGAAATGTCAGAGATATCGACTGTCGAACTTAATACTTAAGAAAATCGGATATTTCGTATTCAACGACCTAATACAATACTGTAACATATTTCAATTTGCCCGAAATTCATGACAAGATCTAGCCTTCTCTTTGTAAATATAATAATTCTTGTAATCATCATTTTGATATTTTATTATTCCTTGATCCTTTCTAGATTTCCGTTAGTTTTACAACGACATTTCAACTCATTGCTATTCTTTGTCTTATCTCTCTTTTACAGCTATTCATGCATGATATCTAGCATGTACATGATAAAATCTTTAATTATCTCAGTTGTATTTATTTTTCTAAATCCTGTCTCTTGTATTTGTACTCGGCGAATGATCATTATTTTTGTTTTTGAGATATTGATTTGTATGTCTGCTTTTTGGCTTATATTTTCGACCTGTCAGTGGATCTATTTCCTTTCTTACTGGGAGGAGAGTGGTGTCTTCTGCGCACAGTAAGTTTGATATATTTCTTTCTGCTGATATATTAGAAGGTTGCATTAATTTATGCCGCTGGGAACAGATGGTTCTGGATGTTACTTTAGTTCATGCTGTTAGGTTTTAGAGGTTATACATTCGTTATTTGTAAGCAACATCCAGTCAACAAAGATTGTTTCTGTGTATAGAAAAAAGTGATAAAAAGTGAAGCGAATATGCAATGTGATAAAGTATTTTTCCGACATGCTTCTTCACTACTTTCACTACTTTCACTTAAAAAAGTGCAGCTGAAGCTTATCAATTGCTTCCAGACATTTATGGCGAAGTTGCTTTTTCAGAAAGAACGTATAAAAAATGGATGCAGCGTTTCAAAGAAGATGATATTGAAGTTCTAGACAAGAAACGCTCAAGGCAGCCGAAAAAATTTGATGATAAGGAATTGCAGGAGTTATTGGGTGAAAATTCGGTATACAAAGAAGAAGATATACAAAGAATTGTTAGTAGCCGACGAAGCCTTCGAAGCCGACAAATCAATCATTTCGAGGCGGCTACATGTCCTAGGGAAGATCCACAAGGAAAGAAAATAAATGCCTCGTCAATTGTCAGAAAGCTTAAAGTTGAATCGTTTGAACATTTACATTTTCTTGCTTGCTAAACAATAGCAAGAGGAGCTTTCATGTAGCGTATTGTGACTAGGGATGAAAAGTCGATGTATTACGAAAATCTGAAACGTTGTGAGTGAACCCCGATTAACCTTCAACATCTACAAAGCAGAATATTTATGGAAAGAAGATAATATTGGGGATAACATTAAACTTAATTTTAAAGGATTTACAAGAGATGGTGCAATGAGCACCTAATGGCACCGGTCCATATTGAAGCCAACTTCATATGAAAGCCCTGTCATTAGACTTTAAGAATCAATATATTTTATGACGTGGCAGCCGCAGGGCGCCCGTCACTAGTAGGCGAAATCTCGGTCCTGACGTGGGGGGGGGGGAGTAATCAGCGCGCGATCAATGGGGAGTGCTAGCGAACTCCCCCCTCCGAGAAATTGTAATAATTTGGAAAAAAGTCATTAGTGTTAAGGACGTGCCGGTGAGACGGTCTCGCGTCTCCCGATTTTGTGCTCCTGGACCTCCCGAGCCGAACAGCTGGACAGGAGGAGCAGGAAGGATGAGGAGGACTTCGCTCACGGTCAGGCACGCGCCCCTCAAGTGATTGCTTTCCATTCCTATCTCGTATTAGAAAACATGTATCGTTCCAAAACAGACTACCGGCTGCCGTGATTGTTCTTAGGCAAGCTTATATGACATCGCTGAAGGAGACGGAAGAGACGAGGTGAGGTACCGCGAACTACGATCATGGCGCGTGGTCCGCTCGCCGAAAAACGGTGCCTAGACATCTGAGGAAACAAAGCGAGGAAAGAGAAAGAGAGCGAAAGAGAGTGAGACAGAACATCCTTCCCGCGGATCCCCAATAGAGATTCGCAGAAGGATTTCCGATCGATGGGAAGAGGGAGGAACGGAGAAAAAGAGGAACCCCTCCTGAAAAACGGGGGGGGGGGGGCACAAGAAAACCGGAAAGAAAAAAGGAAAAAAGATTAGAAGATCTGCTTGGGATTTCGATCGAGTGAGATCTGTTTTTGCGTTCCACTTCTTAAGACAAGGTTGTGTTCCGCTCAAGAGAGAAAATAGTTCTCGTTCCGCCCACGCTAAAGTTCTGTGTTCCGGTTGCTATCGTGCCAAAAGGCGAAGTACATAGTGCGTTGCCGAGGACCGAGGAAAGAAGGGGGAAAAGAGGAAGGACGACTGCCGACCTCGCGAAAGGAACGACCCGTCCGACGACCGTTCAGGACCACGCCGTCGGGAGGTTCCCGACTCTGTAAGACCGCTCACTTGCATTATTGTCGGTGTCCCATGCATTGCCGTGTCGCGTCCGTAGAAATTGTGTTGCGCAGAGCGATACCGGGCTTGCGAGAAAGCGAGCGCAAGAAGCGTGTACCGTCCCGCGAAACTATCGGAGAGCGCCGGCTCCCGAAGGAATAAATTAACATTCTGCTGTTCACCACGCTGTTCTTCTTGTCCTACACGTTTTTCCGATTTTCGGCCAAATCCCGCCCGTCTACCGACTGTAAAATTTCATACGAGCTACCGGTTCCGTCGGACGCCTGCGTTGCGGTCAAGCTTCTGAGCAGTTAGAGTTGGTGAGTGGTGCGGCTATTCGCACCTGGCACCCAACTTGACGTTTTTCTTTGTGTAAGAGACCGTGACGCGTGGACCGGCGGTAATTTGCCGGCGTTTAGAAATAACGTCGCAATTTCATTTGGTTGAAGTTGAAATAACATATTTTTTTTAGCGCATTCAATATGTCGAGTTTTGTGCCAACGAAACGCAATTTGCGGGAAGCGTTACTTTTTTGTTTCCATTTGAAAAAATCGGCAGCCGAAAGTCTTCGTTTGCTGTCCGAAGCTTATGGGGATTATACTCCATCGATCTCAACTTATGAGTACTGGTTTAGACGATTTAAAAGTGGAGATTTTCCACTTATCCATCGTTCGAAGGTAATGCTCTGTATTTGGTGGGATCAGAAGGGTGTGGTCTATTATGAGCTGCTCAAACCTGGCGAAACCATTACTGGGGACCGTTACCGACAACAACTAGTACAGCTGAACCGAGAATTGGAAAAAAAACGACCAGAATACGCCAAAAGACACGACAAAGTGATTTTCCAGCATGACAACGCTCGGCCACATGTCGCTAAACCGGTGAAGGAAATGCTAGAGCTGCTCGGATGGGATATTCTACCTCACCCGCTGTATTCACCAGACATTGCTCCTTCTGATTTCCACTTGTTTTGATCTATGCAGAATCACATTTTTGCCCAGCACTTCAATTATTTGGAAGATATTAAAAAAATGGCTCGATTCATAGTTAACCACAAAAGACGAGTCGTTTTTTCGCCGAGGAATCCGCCTTTTACTAGAAAGATGGGAAAAAGTTGTAGCTAACGATGGACAATACTTTGAAAAACATGTACTTATCACTTTGTTTCGAAATAAACGTTCATTTTCACAAAAATATCTTTTAAAATTAAGTTTAATACCCAATACTACAGTATCGGCCAACAATATATCACCTTTAAGATATTTGAACATAACTTGGTTTAAAATGTATGGATATGTATTAGGTCATAATATGTTTTGATAACAGGTGCAGCTTATCGAACAAAGTACTTTTAATCAAATAATATAAACAACTTGTGAAAAAATAACTTTATTTTAAATGTCCAAAGTACTGTTAAAATGAATAAATTTTGAATAGCTTTGAATAACATAACTATGTTCAATGTCAACAGAGGAGCACCAGATTCATAATTTAAATGAAATAACTCTAGTATTTCGTAACAAAACTTTTTGCATCGATTACAGCTTAACAACGTCTGGGCATGTAATCAATGAATGCATCGATTGTAGCTTGAGGTATCTTTTTCCATTCTTCAAGTTGGGAGAATTTCTGGACCGCATTCTTAGCTCGCTTTCCTGCCAAAGGTTTCTCCAGCTCTTCCCATAACGATTCTATAATATTTAAATCGGGGGATTGACTTGGCCAATCCAAGATTACGCGATAGTGTCGGAACCACTCCTGCACTTTAGCTGCTCGATGTTTCGGATCATTGTCTTGGAAGATGAAACCGCGACTAAGGAAACGTTTTACATATGGAAGCATTACATTCTGGAGGATGTTTATGTATGTACACTGTCTGATCCATGATGCCCTCGATTTTATAAATGAGACCCATTCCTTTTACGGAAAAAGTACTTTACATTATAACTGAACCGCCTCCATGCTTCATTATAGGAAGTTGGTATTTGGCATCAAAGCATTTGCCTTCAGGACGACAAATCCTTTATTCCGTCACTTTATTCCGTCACTACCAAACAGCATAAACTTACTTTCGTCGCTTCAGAGAACGTCAGACTATTGCCGTTATGTCCAGTTAAGATATGCTTTGAATCACTCTATTCGCGCCTTCTGATTTTTCACAGAAATGAATGGCTTCTTCAGAGGTCGTCGAACATGTAGCCCTGCGTCTTGCAGGCGACGGCATATGATACGTACAAATGGATTAAACTGTCCTGGAGTCAATATTTTTTTAGTAATGTCCGATGCTGTGAGATGTGAGTTGCTATGAGACGTACGCAAAATGTCGCGATCGATCAGAGAAGTAGTACAACACGGTTGGCCAAGTGTTTTCTTATTAACAGAACCTTCCTGAACCTTTAAACGCTTAAGGGGGGAGGGTCAAGTAAATTCAAAAATTTTGATGTTTTTTTTGCTTAGAAAATTAGTTTATTATCTGGAGAATGTGCTCCCACTATTTTAAATCGAAATTTGAAGTCTAAGTGTACCTACAGAGTCGTTAAAGTGACGTGCTTCGAGCGGCGCCGAGCACAGGTATACGACCGCGCGCATGAACGCTTTACCTTTCGGTCCCTTGTAATAATAGCTTTGCTATCTTTGCTATTTTGACAATAGATGGCATTACTTACAAGAGATGTGTGGCGACCGTAGCTGGTCTTAGATACTTTCTCTCATGTTCATTCGCTTAGTTAAACTTTCGATCAGGGATCAGGTTCTGTGGGAACGAAATACTTAACAAAGATGTGTTTATTTAGCTATTACAAGCACTCACAAGGTTAACTTGACGGACTCAAAGACAATATTATATAATACAATATCTCTTTCTCTCTTCTCTCTGGGGCTGCTCATTCTTCAAAATCGTTGGATGGATGATTTACTTCAGCGTCACCGTCAAGAACAGGAGGGCGTTGTCTCTCTAGTGGTTTGGTAGTTTGTGGTTAGGACTGCCACATTACTCCCCTCCCAGTGATTTAAATTTTAAACCACGAACTGGACGTGCTTGTTGGTCGGTCCTTTATAAGTACGAAGAGCCTGTGGAGTAGAGGTTGCTGGTTCTTCGGAATCTTGGTCGTTTGAAGCAAGTTTCTCAAAAAAGGCTGGCTTGAGACGTTCTGTAGATATTGATGTAGCTTTTCCATTTACGTTTATGAGAAAAATTCTGTCAGTCGTCCTTTGGATAATCTCGAACGGTCCTCTGTATGGCGATTCGAGTAGTTTGCGATATGCATCGACCCTTATGAATACGTGTGAGCAGAAGATGAGACTTTTGTGGAAAAACGGCTTAGCTTTGTGATGATGCCCTACAGGTGTAGGTCTGATCTGCCACATTGTTTGTCGGAGATTCTCTAAAAACAAACGAGGTTCGGAAGATTTAATGTCTGTGAAGAATTCACCAGGTAAACGAAGTGGGGTTTTATAGACGAGTTCAGTAGAAGAAGCGTTTATATCCTTTTTAAAATTAGCTCGGAGTCTTAGTAATACTAAAGGTAGAGTGTCGACCCCTTGTTGCGAGTTAGTTTGACACATGATTGCTGCCTTCAGAGTTCGATGCCATCGCTCGATGATGCCGTTCGAAGCAGGCATTATGATAAGCAGTTGTGTGAATCTTTTTGGTTCCTATGAGGTTTGCCAAGGTTGTGAATAGTTGCGACTCTGTTGCATTGAGTTCTACGGTCAGTAGTCAGGGTTGCTGGTGCACCGAATCTTGCTACCCATGTTGCGAGGAAAGTTTGAGCAATGGTATCGGTTGTCATGTCTGGTATTGGAATGGCTTCAGGCCAGCGCGTGAAGCGATCAATAATCGTAAAACAAAATTTGTAATTTCTTGATGATGGAAAAGGAGCAATAATATCCATGTGAATATGTTTAAAACGTTCTTCCGTTATGGTTATTTTCGCTGGTGTGTTGATAATGTGTCTCTGAATTTTGTTGTAAAAAATCGCACGAAAGAATCGCGACACATAAGTGAATCAACAAAAAAAATTTGATTTTTCTTGTAAAAAGGCGATTGAAGAAGAAATGAAGTTAAACGAAGAAAATGAAAGGCCGCTTTTGAATATAACAGTTTTAAGCGATGGATCGTGGAAAAAACGCGAGTTCTCGTCTTTATATGGTGTTACTACGCTTATCGGTTATCACACAGGAAAAGCGATTGATCTTGTGGTAAAAAATAGTTGCTGCCAAGCATGCACATATTACAAAAGTATAAACAAAAATGACCTACATTATTTCGAACACAAAGAAAACTGCTCGATAAATCATGATGGATCCGCTGGTAAGATGGAAGTGGACACTATGCTTGAAATGTTCCAGAGATCTGAGGAATTTTTTGGGGTTAGATATAGTAATTACGTCGGCGACAGAGATGCAAAAACTTTCAAGGCTATTCTGGACAAGCAACCTTGCAGTGAAGATTTTAAGATAATAAAGAGTGAATGCATCGGCCACATCGAGGAGAAAATGAGCAGTCGGCTCTGAAACATAAAAAAACTGCTAAGCTCAGAGGCAAGGGAAAGCTTACGGATGGTCTCATAAAAAAATTAACTAAGTATTATGGCCTTGCCATAAGACGAAATGTTAATTCTGTCGATGATATGAGGAAAGCAGTTACTTACTACCACTACTTACTACCACATGATTGCAACAAACAATGAGCCGCAGCATCAGTATTGTTCCCCGACGACTCATAGTGTGCTTTCGCGTTGCCGAAGCAGAAAAAATTCTAATATAAAATGCTAATGAAAGTTTTAACGCTACTGTGTGGCATTTGGCCCCTAAGCATCTGAACTGCGGTTATAAAATAATAGAAATCGCTGCATTTTTGGCTGCCGGCATATTCAATGATGGATACACCTTCATTTTGTAAGTTATGAACGATTTGCAACTGCAAATCGGGCTGCATTGTAAGCATTTCACGGATATATACGACACATACCTTGTGCGCAGACAGGAGCACCGCAGCCTCGAGAGCACAAAAGAGGCAAGAATAGCTCGAAAAGCAGAACAAGCGGCTTTGTTGGACGAATTTGAAGAAGAGGAAAGTTTATTGTATGGCTTTGACATCGCTAACTTCAAATTTGCTGTAAGTTACCTCAAACACTATTTTTTCGCTCTGAAAACTTTAAACACGTTTTTCTCAAAACATAAAATTTTGCGTGTCGTGGAATGTAGCTCAGCGAATTGCGACCAATTGCAATGAAATTTTGAACATATTCTTAAACATATTCTCTTTGGCATGAACCTAAAAGTTTTTTTAAAATTTAACAATAAACAATGTTTTTAGCAATTTCTTTTGTAAGAAAATATGGTGATTTTTTTTCAAAATGACGCTGAATTTTTAATTTTCGATTTTTTAAATTTTAAATTTAGGTTTATGCTGAGCGTATTATTATATTTTAACGGAAACTTTTGTTTTTTGATTTCAGATAATTAGAGCGACCTGTGTGTTCAACGGCGCATTTCCGAGTAGGCAACTTCAAGCAGTTGTTCCTCAGCTATTTATTAATATTTTTACATAAAAATATTATTTCAGATAGTTTAAATATTAATATGTGCTTACTTGTAAAACAATAAACTTTATGTTTAAAAAAAATTCGAGAAAATACGACCGTTTACTTGACCCTCCCCTCTTAAACAACTTAGTCACCGCTAGAGTTTCCAATCCCAAATACAATTTAGGATCCCGGGATTCCGAGACTAGTCCCGGGATTATATATATATATAAAGAAAGAAATAAGGAATATTTATAAACAATAGAATTATTTTATTTATAAAACGTTCACAGACTTTTATGAACATTATGACAAACAAAAAATAAAATTTCAGTAAAAATGAAAGCAACTTATATTAATGATTGCATAAAAACCGTTACAATTAAAAATTAAAGTTTTTCTATTAAAAATAAAAATAATTATTTTTTCTCTCTCACATTTGAAAAAGTGACTTTAAAAATAATAAAACATAAATTTTGTTAAAAAATATCTCATCGAGGATCCCGGATTCGAGTCTGTGTTGCGCCAGTTTATCTGCGAAATTTAAAATAGAAAACTCTCTTAACATTTAAAACAAATAGAAATAAACATGGAATTAAATTTAAAATATAAATACCCACTTCTCTAGCAAATGCTCTAAAACATTAGTAATAAGTAATAATTATTAAAGTAAAATTTTTGTAAAACGTAAGTATTATGTAGACACTAAGCATTAAATTTTGAAATCCCGGGATTTGTGATGTTGAATCCCGAGTATTTTCGGACATTTTCGGGACAAAAAATTTGGCCGGGATCCCGAGATCCCGGGATCCAGGATCCCGGGATTGGAAACTCTAGTCACCGCTGATTTGGAAATGCCAAACTGCTGGGCAAGTTTTTTATGCATCCGCCCTTGCTTGCGACTTTCTACGATAGCTTTCCGTTGTCGTTCGTCCTCATTTCGAGCACCACAAGTCTTCGCCATCTTTTAAGATACTAAACTAATGTTTACAGCCGTGTTGAAATAGCGACAGAATACATAAATATAACAAGTATATAAAGATTGTCAACGGACGATTTTGGGATAATCAATAAATATCTTTGAATATCATAATATATGTTGCCAAATTTTCTCATACATTACACATAAAGTGTACATGATACCAGCTATCTGCTATAAAAATTTGAATCTAGTTTCTTTACTGTGAAGGAAGTTATGCTCAAAAATCCTAAAGGTGATATATTTTTGGCCGGTACTGTATGTATTTGGTGGGATATAGAAAACGTAGTGTATCATAAGCTTCTGAATCTCAGTAAAGCGGTTAATACCATATTTTATCAACGTCAATTTGAGCGATTGAACGACGAATTGATGCAAGAAAGACCGTCAGTAGTTAGTAATACACGGGAAGTGATCCTCTAACATAACAATGTCAGACCACACGCAGCAAGAACGGTTAACCTTTTTACGGCCAAATTATTTCTGTTGATTTGAATTTGATCATTTCCTGACATATAAGGATTTTGAAGTCGCTGATTACGAATATGAGGTCAAAACTGAAAAATTCAAAATGGCAGATCTAATATGGCGGATGTGAAATTTTGAAAGTGAGCTAATTTATTTCAAACTCGATACTCAGGGATTTTTCGGCTCGCTAATTATGAATTTAAAGTCAAAACTGAAAAATCCAAAATGGTGAATTTGATATGACGAACGTGAAATGCTAAATGCGAGCTAATCGACTTTAAACTCGATATTCGAGTGTTTTTTGGTTGTTGATTATGAATGCAAGGTTGAAATTGAAAATTTCAAAATGACGGGTCCAATGTGGCAGACTCGAAATGCCAAAAATGAGATAATCGACTCCAAACTTAACACTCACAGATCTTTAGGGCCACTTATAACAAATGTAAGGCTTAAAATTCAATAATCCGAAGTAATAGATCTGATGCGCCGGAAAAAATCTGATAAAGGCATAAAATTTCTTATAGAAATGATTATATCTATTCATTTCTGAAGAATTAGGTAATTTATCCACCCAGTTGACAATATTTTATTTTATTGACTTACTCATGAAGAAGTTCAAATTTTGAATTGCATTTATCTCTTTCCTCGAGTTCTTTACAAATCATTTTTCTTAGTTATGAGTTGCATTTGTTTTTTCACTGGAGTCATAGATACTTTTCGACTGCCAGCGGCTTGGGTGGTGTAGAATTTATAAAGTTCTGTTCGTAATTTACTTTTTCACTTTAGATAGGTACGAGGGTAGGTCTAGAAGTACCTGACCTAACAAAGAAAACACAAAAAATTTGGGAAAAATATCTTTACTTCTCTACATAGTCTCCTTTTAGCTCAATATACTTTTCCCAGCGATTTTCAATAGCTTCGATACCCTGTTTATAGTGGGAATCGTCGAACTCGTCAAAATAGCCATCAACAGCAGACTGCACTTCTTTATTGTTGGTAAATTTTTTACCACCGAGCCATTTTTTCAAGTTTGGAAACAGAAAATAATCCAAGAGGGCTAAATCTGGTGAATAGGGTGCGTGAGGAAGCAATTCGAACTTTAACTCATTTTTGGCCATCGCGATAACGGATGTGTGAACTGGTGCATTATCTTGATGAAACAAAACTTTCTTTTTCGCCAAATGCGGCCGTTTTTTCTCGATTTCATCACTCAAATGCTGCAATAATTTCGCATAATACTCGCCGTTGATTGTTTTTCCTTTCTGAAATAATCAATGAAAATTATCCCACGCGCATTCCAAAAAACTGATGCCATGACCTTGCCTGCAGATGGAACTGTCTTCGCCTTCTTTGGAGTCGATTCTTCCCTTTCAGTCCATTGACTGTTCCTTCGTCTTAGGTGTGAAGTGATGGATCCATGTTTCACCAATGGTTATGAGTCGACGCGAAAACTCGGTTTTATTGCTGCGAAACTTCGCTAAACACTCGATTGAAACATCCTCACGACGCTGTTTTTGTTCCATTGTGAGTAATCGCGGCACCCATCTTACGCACAACATTCTCATGTCCAAATTTTCAGTCAATATGCGATGTACAGCACTTTTTGAAATGCCTACCATGTCTGCTAACACGCGCATTTTCAGCCGACAGTCATTCAATACCATTTTGTGGATTTTCTTCACTATTTCTGTGTGGTCACCTCATTTGGTCGACCACTGCGATGTTCGTCTTGGCAGCTCGTACGGCCTCGTTTAAACTCTGCCACCCAATATTTTACTGTTGTAAATGAAGGAGCAGGCTTTCCTAGAGTAGAATCTAGCTCCGCTTTGATATTGGTTGGATTGAGGCCTTTCAAGTGAAAGTATTGTATCACATAACGATGACCAATTTTTTTCCATGTTTATAAATTCACTGAGAGCGTTCACTATTGATGGCCTGCCAAATAAATACTAAACAACGTAGCGTCATCAAACTTCAAACTTAAGCTTTATAAGGTTGGTACTTTCTACCATAGTCACTCTTTTCAAACAACAATCGCTATCTATACGTCAGGTCAGGTACTTCTGGGACTACCCTTGTATGTCCGATTGTTAGGTCGTTAAGTATGAAATGTCCGATTTCGAATCAAAAGTTTGGTTTATTATATCTCAAACTAGAAATAGTATAATTAATCCAAGTATGCGCCTAAACTATCGACATATCGACAGTTCTGCCATCTTAACGGTAGCTTATTTATGCCAGCAGCGAAGAAGCCTAAAGAGCAGATGACGATGAAATCGCGGAAGACGTTTTCCACAGCTTGTTGAGAATTGAATATTTTTCCTTGCAAGAAATGGTCCAGTAGAAGAAGTGATAGTCGGTTGGTACAAGGTCTGGTGAATACGGTGGGTGACAGAGTTTCCAGGTTCAGCTCCTGTAGTTTGAGAAACGTTGTTTGTGTGATATGTGGTCGAACGTTGTTCTCTTGCAAGAAGATTACCTGTGTCTATTGATCAATCTCGGCTGCTTGATCGCAAACATTTTCATCATTTCGCCTAGTTGATTACAGTAGATATCCGCTGTAATCGATTGACCAGGTTTCATGAAGCTGTAATGGATAATATCAGCGCTGGACCACCAAACAGACACTATTAGCTTTCTTCAGTGAATATTCGGTTTCAGACTATGTTTCGGCACTTCATCCATATCCAATCACTGTGCCGAACACTTGCAATTGTCGAAAAAGATCCGCTGTTCATCATACGTAACAATATGATGTAAAAATGGTTCCCTTTTACATCGTGATAATGAAAAAAGGCAAACTTCGAGATTACTTCTCTTCTGACGCTCGTGTAATTCATGTGGAACCCATTTATCCAGCTTCTTTATCTTGCTGGTTTGTTTCAAGTGATTCAATATTGTTGGAATAGTAACGTTAAATCTTGCTGCTAATTCACGCGTAGTTTAAAATATATCCGCTTCCACTACAGCTTTCAGCTCATCATTATCCACCTTGGTCTCAGGTCACCAACGTGGCTCATTTTCAAGATTAAAATCGCCAGAACGAAACTTCTCAAACCATCGATGTTATACGTATATATTATACGTTCATTAACCACATCTTCACCAAACACTTCGTTAATATTTCGAGTTGTCTGTGCTGCATTGGTTCCACGACGGAAGTCATATTCGAAAATAACACGAATTTTTAACTTATCCATGTTTACACAAAAATTGCTGTAATAAAGACAATTCGAAAGATAATCACAAACCAAAACATGCATTTGAAAGAGTGATGATATACTTTCACAATAAAGAAAAGATCAAAAACTGTAAAGGTGAAATGTCAGAGATATCGACTGTTGAACTTAGTATTTAAGGAAATCGGACTTTTCATATTTAATGACCTAATAACATATTATGAAAATAATAAATATTCCAAGTAAAAAGAAAGCACAAATTGATACGACCCCCTAATATTTTGTCAATTTTATATTGACTTTTGTTTTAATATTTTCTGTTTGTATATGATATACAGCAAAACTTCATAAATACGAATACTAAATACGAAAAGCACTTATTTTCTATACAATGCAGTATTGAGATAAAGTCATGTCTTTTCATTTATTACTATGAGGAACGTCTATTATTATTATGGGAAAAAGATTACTTTTAAATAGTTATATTTATATGACAAAATTTATGTTGAACTGGAGGGAAATGCATTAGAATTTTAAAATTTATACTTCCGCATGAGGG